CATGCCGGCCTGGGCCCGCCGGCGCCCCCAACAGGCGCGGCCGCCCCGTCGGCGTCGCAGCGCCGCAAGCGTACTTCGTTCAGCGCCGAGCAGCTGCAGCTGCTGGAGCTCGTCTTCCGCCGGACCATGTACCCCGACATCCACCTGCGCGAGCGCCTGGCCGCGCTCACCTTGCTCCCTGAGTCCAGGATCCAGGTGAGCGGCCCGGCCAGCCCGTCGGTTCACAGTTCGCTCTGGAGCGGAGGCAGTGGGAGGAGAAGACTGGATCCCGGGCTCCTGAGGCCAGACCCCAGTGCCCACTTGGGACCCTAGAACCCACGCGTTGCAGTGGGCAAGTTGCTTACCTTGAGCCTCCGTGTCTTGGGCTGTAAAATAGGGATAACATAACAGAACCTAGTAAAGGAGCCCTGGTGGCGCAGTGGTTAAGCGCTCGGCTGCTAACTGAAATGTCGGCGGTTCAAAACCACCAGCGGCTCTGTGGGAGAAAGATGTGGCAATCTGTTTCCGTAAAGATTTACAGCCTTGGAAACCCTATGGGACAGGTCTACTCTATCCAGTAGGGTCGCGACGAGTCGTAATCGAATTGAAGGCTATATATACATATATATACACACACATTTGGGGGTGGGGGGGCGGGTTACCCCCTGGGTGATTGTGAGGCTTACATGAAATTTTTCAGGCACGCACTCACTATATTATCTTATTATGAAGTATAACAAGTGCCCCTGCAAGAAGGCTAGCAGGGCCTCTGAAATTGTCAGAAAAGTAAAACTCCAACAGGAAGGTGATAGAAAGTACTTTTGGACCTTTTCCTCGTCCAGGGTGAGGGGTCAGATGAGGTGCAGCTGGGGTTTGCCTCTGGCTTTGAGTTTGAAATACACGTTGCCGTGGAGTCGATTCCGACTCTTAGCGACCCTACAGGATAGAGTAGAACTGCCCCGTAGGGTTTCCAAGGAGTGGCTGGTGGATTTGAGCTGCTGACCTCTTGGTTAGCAGCCTGAGCTCTTAATCACTGAAAGGGCAGGGCTGGCTCACCAACTGACTCCCTCGGCCTCTTTCTTGGCAGGTATTGGTTGTGGGATTTTGGTTCAAAAGGATGTTGCTTCTGGGGGTAAAGCCAGAACTTGCCTTCTTGTCACAGTTTGAACCGAACTCCTGCCTTAAAACAAAATCTAGTGCAAGGTGCTTTTACTGCTTCAAGTAAATTAGATCAGAGTCCTGGAGCTTGGTGGTAATGGGAAGCCTACCTTTTTGCCTATTAGTCTGTAGTAGGCAAATTAGTCCCTGTTCTGTATCCAAGTGGTTTTATGTAAAAAGAAAAACAAAAAACCAAACCAGTTGCTATTGAGTCGATTCCAACTCATGGCTGAGTCATGATGACCCCATCCATGCGTGTGGGAGTAGAACTGTGCTCCATAGGGCTTTCAATATCTGTGATCTTTCAGAAGTATATCGCCAGCCAGGAAGAGCTAGGCTTTTCTTCTGAGCTGCCTCTGGGTGGATTCAAACCACCAACTTTTCAGTTAGTAGCTGAGTGCATAAGCATTTGCTCCACCCGGGGATTCCTACAGTTGTAAGTAGAAGCCCTCATTTTCACACTGGAAGAGAGTGGACTTGTTTTCTCTGCATCCCTGGTGGTAGTTCACCTGTCAGTTTCAACAGCTGGCAGAAAATTTGTGGGGAAATGGTGAGCAGAAAATTTTATTCACAGAAGTGAAGTTCACTCAGCAAAATATCTCCTTGAATAATTTGACAAGGGAGTGCAGACTTTAAAAAACTGCTTTTCTGTATCATTTTAACATCTATCATCTTTAAGTGTAGTAGCATGTTTTCCTAAGAATTCTAAGTGCTTCTACTTCTAAATAGAATTTGTAAGAATTTTAATTGCTTCTATCTACTTCTGGGGCCCCATTTTTTCATTGCAAATGTCCCTATAGCATATAGATAGAACTAGGCAGTATTCCAGTTTTGCATATGGGAATGGTGAGGCAGAGAAAGCCAGGTGCTCTGTGCTTCTAACCACCAGCCCAAGTGCTTTCTGAAAACCACAGGGCCTCTGGATCAGGAAATGTTAAACTGGAACTGATGATGATGAACTGTGAACACAACAGTAGCAGAAGCACTTCAACCAAAAGCAGTCCTTTTCTCCCCTCTTCCAGGTGTGGTTCCAGAACAGGCGTGCCAAGTCACGGCGGCAGAGTGGGAAATCCTTTCAGTCCTCAGCCAGGCCAGGGCTTTTCCTCAACCACTCTGCTCCTGGAACTGAAGCAAAATGTTTGAAGCCCCAGCTGCCTCTCGAGGTAGATGTGAACTGCCTGCCCAATCCCAACAGGGGTGGAGGGGGCCTCTCTGACCCTAGCCCCCAAGGCCAGAGTTTTGAAACCTATTCCCCTCTTCCTGAAGACATTGGTTCAAAGCTGGACTCATGGGAGGAACACATCTTTTCCGCCTTTGGTAACTCTTGAGGACTCGCGGAGAACTCAGTCTAAACTCGGAGGAGCCACGACTGACGGCCGGGGAGACACACGTCAGGATACTGTCGTTTCTGGCTTCCATGTTAAGGACACCTGCATGTCAAGCTTGATGGTGGTTCTGACTATCATCTCTCACATTTGAGGGTTCCTTCCCTTTCGGCTCTGAACCTTCCCCATGGCTTGGTCTTAGTGACACACACCCCCTGGGAGCTCTGGCACTCATTTTTACCTCTGTATCTCCACATCTGCACCCTCAGTTCTGTCTGCATCCTTGCTCCTTCTTGCCATCCTATTCTTATTTGGGGGGAGTTGCTCAGAACTCATCTTTTTCACAAGGACCCCTCAACTTGACTCAGTTTCCCCTTGTGCTCCCATCTTCTCCTGTTCCCTCCAAGGCTTATAACCGTAAACTGACTTAAACCCACCTCCTTCAACCCTCATCCTATCACCAAGATTTACTACTTTCAAAAAAAACTGGCCTGTCATCTTTACACTTAACTGTAGCTCGGATGACTCTGCATCCAGGTTATTTCAAGAGCCCCCTGCCTCTAGCTTCTCAACTATTCTTTAAAATTACCTTCTTTATAAATCTAGTAGCTTCCAATTGCTACCAAATTATAAAAACTCTTCAGTTATCTTTCCAGATAACCAACTGACATCATCTTTAGCCTACAGGACCAAAAAAAGAAACCCCAAACCTGTTGCTGTTGAGTCAATTCTCATATTGACCCTAAAGGAGAGAGTAGAACTGCCCCATAGGGTTTCCAAGGAGCAGCTGGTGGATTTGAACTGCCGACCTTTTGGTTAGCAGCCCAGCTCTTAACCACTGTGCCACCAGGGCTCCCTGGACGGTCATGCAAATCTTCTTATGGTCTCCCCTCCACAATTTGTGCCTCTGTCTCAAAAGCCACTCCTTTCGGTTTTGGAACCAAATTACTACCTTTCTCTCTTTCAAAACACTCAACACTCCTCTTTCTGAAGACCAAAACTTTCTCTAACCAGTCCTGATTTTGTACCTGTTACTTCAACCATTCCGGCATTGCTCTTAGCACTTGTTACGGTACTTCTGTGCAACTTTAGTGGATTATTCAGTGTTTTTCACAAATGCTTCAATGTAATTCTATTTAATTCTCTCCTATAGGCAGCACTTAGTACAGTGCTTTTCACACCACTATTGTTCAGTACATATTATGTGACCATGAAAAACGTTTCTAAAAGAATTTAAAAAAAGGAGTTTCTGTAAATGTTGTTTATAGCACAATCAATATTATAACAGCAGGTCTCTGTGCTGAGAAATTGAACTTGGTTAAAAGTATATCTTTGCTTGTTCAAAGTTTAGTAACACATTTATGAGTGTTTTGGTTTTGGGAGCTTTCTCTTTCCCAATTTGTACATTTTTATGTATGTAAACAAGTGTTCCAAAATTAAAAACATTGATATTTTGAGGGTTTTTAAACTCCTGAGGGCCAAAGGAAACTGTATAGGAGGTAACTGGGTAACTGCAGGTAAGGTTTCTCTGTAAACTGTGGCTTAGAGTAGGCTCATGAGAAGCCATGGCTAGGGCCAGGACGCCATGTCTTGGTGGTCACTAAGAGTTCAAACTATACTGCATGCCTTACAGATTGTATGTGCCAGTTGCCCTAATGTTCATGTTATTCAAATGGTCTGCACTTTTCAGAGTAGCAAATCCACTATTAAAAGCAATTAGGAGAACACAGTGCAGGCTCTAGTAGCAAACAGGACTTTGGAGCCATTTGAAAACTGTCTGAAACCAAAAATGAGATTAATAAACATCAGCTAATATTTTATGTGCTTACTATGAGCCACACATTGTGCTTGGGGCCTGCCATGGGGGTGGCCAGGAAGTCTCACAATCACAGAGAGCTTCACATTCAGACCTGTGATATGGCCCAACAAAATGACGCAAATACATTCACAAGGCTGAAAAACATGTACCATAAAACTTACGGTCACCTAAGAGTCACATTTAAAATCTTGTAAGTAGCTTATGAATTGTACTATTGCATTTATATTGTGTTAAATTCTATTTTTCCAAGTGAAGAATTAAAAAATAGAAATATTTAAATCTTGTCATATTTTTAATTTTTCAAAACTGTGGGATTCTCTAAAATCAGAAGTGGCCTATACCTCTCTCAACTTCTAAGAGTCCCTAACTAAATGTTACAGGCATCACCTCTTTAATCCTCACAATTACCATGTAAGGCAGGGGCTATTATTCCCATGTTAGAGATGAAGAAACTTAATCTCAGTAGCTGGCCTACAATCACAGAGCTAGTAAGTAGCATGGCCAGGATTCAAACCTAGGACTAGCTAGCCCACACACGTGTCTACCACCAGATAATGCCTCATACGTTGGACTGGCCTTTTGATAGCCAGGACTTATGATACAGTAATGTGATAGGTTTAGAATAACCCCCAAATCAGACTTTCTACATCTAAATGAGTATTGCTTCATCTTTCAAAGCAATCGTTATGGAAGCCCATACTCTTATTCCAATGACACTAACATTGCTTAGCGCTCCATTCACCAGTATTTATTTGGTCCTATGAACACAGGGCCTGGGAATAAAATGGGGAACAAAAATAAGCAGGACCTCCCCTCATGGAGCAAAGATGCCAGTATGGAGACAAAAGATCACTCCAAGAAATATGAAATTGAAAATGTGACAAATGCTGGAAGGAGGGGATCTGCAGACATTGTAACAGATGTGGATGGTTAAGGAAAGTTGCAGCTCAGGAGTTCCCAAGACGAAGAGGGTAGAAAACAGAGCGCTGCATGAGTGAAGACCCCATGGAGTAAGGAGCAGATTGGCGAAGCAGGTAGTGGAGGCCAGACCAGCATGGCTTTGTAGGCCAGGTAAAGGAGTTCTGAACTTGTCATGAGCCATAAATGACCTCAAAGTCTTTAGATGAGGGGATAACATGACCAATTTTGCATTTTAAGAAGATCACTCCAGCTGCAGGGTGGAAAGTACATCTGAGGAGGGCCAAGTGGAAGCAGGAAGTCAGGAGATACCTGCAGCGGTCCCGGCTAGTCATGGTGGTAACAGCACGAGAGTAATGGGGTCATGGAGATGGAGGGAGGCGCGTGGATTCAAGAGAAAACATTTAGCAGGCTAATCTTTTTGAAGATTCTCAATGATAGTGAGCGAACCTGAAATCTGGAACTAGGTTAAAGTAATTCAGAACCAAATCTAGATAAATAAAAAGCAGGCGGTGTGCTTGCTTGTTTGCTCAATCTGGCTTTGCTAGCTTTCTTTAGAGTTTCAGAAATATGTTAAGCAGTGGCAGCATCACCCACACAATGTACAGCTGACCCAAAATGACTACTTTGAATTACATAGATTTCTTCTTCCCTAAACAGAAATAAAATTTAAATATATTTTTCAGCACAGTCCCTGCTGCCACACAACACTGAAAGACATTAGCAATGCTTAATTTAATTGATTACCTATGAATAAAACAAGGTGCTACTTAAGTGAGACTTAACAAATGTAAAAGAAAAACATTGTTAAATACTTGCCTAATTCTAGGCAAATATATTAAAATCAACCTTTTACTTGCTCTTTACTAAGCCACACTTACTTGCTTAGTGTGATTTACTCACAGATGGAAAAAACCTCTATTAAATAATATCAGATGGTGTCATACTTCGAAATGACTGTAATGAATCTGTATTGTTTTCCCTAAAAATAAAATTTAGTGGAAATTATCATTCTTCAAATTTTTTTATAGGAGGAACTTATCAACTTGTTATATTAATTAAATGAGAATTTAGATAATACTAATTTTCATAGATCAATTTATTTAGAATTACAAATATCATTAAGAATAAAAGATTTATGCATTTCTTAATTAACATAACAATTTAGCTAAATATAAACTCTGCACTAAAGTTCTGCAGTGGCACAATACCAACAAAGAATACAGAAGCAGTCTGAAACTATACAAAAATGTCAAATGGAAAATAATCTTGTTTAAGTTTTATTTTACATTAACATATAAAAAGTCTCATTTTATGAGACATCTGAAAGACTCAAAACCACCTCTACAGCTATTTCTTAAACTCGAAATCTGAAAACAATTTATTATACTTTAACTTTATAATATTCTATATTAAAACAAAGAAAATTCCAAATACACTCTTTTTACAAGATTAACATTCTAGACAGGGGTTTCCTTAAAAAACACCACCTCCCCCCAAAAAAATCCCCAAACAAACCTTTCTTCTGCATTTCACAGCACTGGTTATTATATTTGTTTTCCTTATAAAAATCTTTTTACTTTACAAGTGTGTACTGTTGGATTTTAACCAGTAATCTAGTTTAAAAGTTGTGCAAATAAACAAAAAATATGAAAATAGTGTGTTATCAGCCTTTTTTTTTTTTTCCTTTTGAATAAATCTCATAACAATAGCACTTTTTTGCCCTGAATCGACGGGAAAAGACATGCCAAATCCACTTGCTGAAATTTAGCATTTTGCAGTAATGCTTTTTTCCTGTTCCTTCATTTTTTCTCAACAGACAAACAACAAAGGTTTCTTTTATAAATTATGATAAATTAAAATATTTAAAATTATAAAATGATCTATAGAGCCATGTCACATTGCAAGTATATGTCATATATACTTGTAAAGTCCTTATTTCCCATCTCTAGTCCAGTGGCTTCCTTAAAAAAGAGTACTTCCCACACCTCATGATATTATCTTTTGAAGACTGAGATGTCGATCAACTAATCAACTGGGATTGTACTTTCCTAGACGAATTTCCACACTGCCACCGATACGCACAAAAAGACCATTTTTCTTCTCATTCTCCATTGCAGTGGCTGTCTGCATGCATTGGGTTGATTTCACGCACATTTAAAAAATGGGTAACACATTCTTCCATGAAATTATATTAATGTGTTCAGATGTTTTCAGTTTAAAAATACTTGCTAATAAACATATGTAACATAAGCAATGCTACTGCAGCTGAATAATAAAGAAAAATATAATGCTGGTCAATAATGTTGGCTTAAGAAGCAGTACAGTATATTAAAATGCCTTATTTGGAGACTTTAATTTCCCTTGTTTTCCAGCAGTCAGGTATTTGGTGTTGGAAAGCCTATATAAAGGAA